CAACCTCTTCGGCTGTACGGGCAGCTTCAGCTTCTTCTTCCAGCAGCTGAAACAAGGGATCCCTCTTCTTCCACCAAGGCTTCTGCCTCTGATACAGAGCAACAGCCTCAATTTGGAAGTGGGAAGAGTCTAGGTGAACCTCTCGGCGCCTTGGTTCAGTGATAGGGGGAGCCCGATCAGTTACGACTCGTTCTCGGTTGACGCCAAGGCGAGCGTAATCAATGCCGATGTTGGTCTCGTCCCGTTCTGAAAAAGAAAAGGGGAGAAGTCGATTCAGTTAGTTCGGCACATCACAAGAAAGCAAAATGAAAGAAGAAAAGAGATAATTAAAAGGCCTCGGCCCCAGCCGAAGAAGATTACCATCCCTAAACTTTCGGCTGAGGCCGACAGCTGCCAGCATATTCTCTTGGAAAACATAGTGCGTATCGGGGAGCCAAGTCTCCGGGATATGCTGCATTCGGCCGCTGCCTCCCCGGTTCGGCAGCTTGCCGAAGATGTTCTGCTGATTAAGGTTCGGGTCTGGCCCGCTATCTTCGGGAGGACCTAAACTTCCCATGTCAGGATCCGGCTCGGCAAGATACCGGGGAGCGCTGAAAACATAAGGATGGCTCGGCTCCGTGGGCGCCCTAACCCAAATCCATTGACCTCTCCAGTCCTTGTCTGAAGAGTCGTTCGGCCACATGGTTAGGAACGGGGGCCGAGACTCAATCCGATACCACCCAGAACCATGGCTTCCGTGCCCACTCTGAATATTTGGCACTAGCCGATGGAGCTTTCTGAAGCAGTGCAGGTTCGGCACGTATCTGAAGAATTTGCAGACCCATAAGTACGTCATTACCCTTCGGATGCTGGTGGGGGTCAGCTGGCACAGGGAAATGTTGTAATGGATCAGCAAGTCTCGGACGAATACGTCCAAAGGGAACCTCAGCCCATACTGAAGCTGTCTCGTGTACACCCCCACATACCCCGGGGGTGGACGATGGATTCTATCGGATGCTGAGGGCATTCGGCACCAATATCCATCAGCTTCAAAAATGCCGTAGTGCAACTCAATTTGCTCAGCAAATCGATATTGATCGGCGTTCTCTACCCACCATGAGTAGGGACGGTTCTTTATCATGGCCGAAGCTACTTCGGCATCCTCCCACTCTGAAAACCCTGGGAGGATATCCCAAAGGACAGCGGGAACTTCATCATCCCGTCCTGAAGCTCTCACCCCCTCAGCCCTCTGAGGAGGAGCCGAAGAAATGGGAGTCGCCCTAACCCCTTCAGCAGGGTCAGACTCTGTCCTTCGTCCATTCCAGGTCCCAATCCTGTCCCTGGGATCGGGGATTAGCCTTGCTCTCCTTGGAGCACGGGCTCCACCTCTAACTCCCCTCACCATTGACGAATTTCGAAGGAAAAAGTCGAAAAAGGGGAAAGAGTGCAAAGTCGAAGAAAGATGAAATAAAATCAAAGGAATTTACCTTGATCTGAAGCAAAAGCCGCCGATTTACGAATTGGTAGTGACAAGTCTCAGCTTCTAAGCTTAATGCTCGGGGAATTTGCGAAGTTTTGATGCGGGCTCTTGAGCGTTCTTGAGAATTCTGGGTTTGTGTTGATGAGTGAGTGGGGAGAGAAGACGCGCCTCTATTTATATCTCCAGAAATGGGAATTCAAGGAGTCTGCGTTTCAATTTCTCTCAAGCACCCCACTAAGTAACCGTTAAACACACAACCTTGCAGTTAAATCGCCCACTACCCGTCCAACTTCCGCAATCACCCACATTAACTGTTGTTATCTCATTAATCATGGGTTAATTACGGTTTAAATTCACATTTTTGGATCAGCAAATCATTCACTTCCCTCCTTTTCTGGTTAAATCAAACCCGACCCGTCATCCTTCCAAATCGGGTCTGGGGGGCAAGTTGTTTGGGTCCAATTTAGTCCAATTGGGCCTGGTCACTGAATGATCCAATTAAAAGCCCAAGGCAAAGGTTCAACTCTCCAAATATGCTAAAGTCAAAAATCAACATCCTCAAAGCCATGTCAAGGTCAGTCAACGGCCCAATCAGCTTGGCCCAGCCCAACTGATTTCCGGGCCCAATCCGCCTCCTTCATTAGCCAAGGTATAAAAGCCAACAATTTGGTCAATTCTTGGTAAGACAAAGACAATAAGCCTCAAGCAACTAAACTCTTGCACAGCTTTCTCTCTCTAATATACTGACTTAAGCATCGGAGGGGCCTTCCTCGGCGTCCCCCCCGAGGCTAGTTTACGTGTATTTGTTGTGCAGGAAACCCTCGGCTCCGGCGTCGTTCGGACCGAGACCAAGTTCCCTCAAGATAAAAGGATCTTCCGAGATTCGATTGTTTTCATCCGAAACACAATGTATCTTTCTGATTTGATTCCTTGTTTTATGATTATGACTTTTTTATTTTTATTTTATTTACTCCGTATCTTTGCTTGTTAGATTAGAAAATAAAGATGGCTGTCAAAGTTAGACAAAATATGCGTAAAGATTTGACACGGTTATTACATCTCAGTCTAACTCACATGGCTTGGATATTGGATTCTTACCAAATTATTCCACTTTCCAAATCACTATTCGTCAATATTAGTCATTCTTTCGTTTATGCATGTACTATATGTATGTTTGTTTAAGGTAAACCTACTAATGTTCCATACTTCCATCAAAGGATATATTGATCGATGATGTTTCCTGTCTCCATAGGTTTCATGTTATTGTAACGATGGAATGAAGCAACTTGCAAGATAGGAAACTAACAAGAATACGAGATTATGTAGTATATGGAGAAAACAAACATTTGGAGAAGTCGTTGATAACAATAATAATATATATATATTTTTTTTGACAGAAAATTAATAATGGTTTTAAGAAAAAATAATTAACATTAATATCCCATCAATAAAAAAAATAATTTGTAGGGCCTCAACCATCAGCTTAAGCTTTTGGTTGAGTTGGTCCTCTAACACCTTCATACCAAGCTTATAAGTTAGTCATCAATTCATCATTCCTCTTCTTACTTCAACGAACATGGATCGATCAAATATAGTCTCTACACACATCACACATGTTCTAAACTTCTGATCAAAATTTATATAGAGTTGATTATTCTTAATTATAATAATCTGTAGACAAATATAACTTAATAATAATCTTAATGCATAGTAATTAAGTAGCAACAATTTCAAAAAGTGAACAAATTATGTACTCAATGATATATTGATAAACTTGAATAATAATCATAATGTAAAAAATAATACGGAAGTAATAAACTTGAATAATATTTTATTTATTTTTTATTAAAAAAAAAAATCAAGTAGTGAATTATTACATGATCCCTGCTTCTGTCTTTAAAAAAAAAAAAAACAAAAAAAAAAAACATGATCCCTGCTTCTTGGATGTTTATTAGTGATGATAATAATATACCAAAGATTACGTAGTCATAATGTGTAGTCATTAAATAAATAAATCTCAAAAATCTTATAAAATGAAGAATATTGATCACCAAACATGATTGTACTAACATTATTAAAAACAATTATATATTTATGTCAGTATGTAAAATAGAGAATGTATGATGAGAAGAGAGAATTATTCGTACATTCGGAAAAGAGGTAGGATGTCACACAGCACATGATCGATAGATTAAGCCGGTGAGAAGTCGATATCGCAGCTTCGGTTGAGCTTCTTTGGAATTATACACTCTACTAATATGGCCTTACATATTCATATAAGATCAATTTTCATAAAAACTATATATTATATTTTTCTTGATAATATAGATATGTTTCCGGTTGTCGCGTCACAAGATAGTATCATTCACCAGTTTAAGTACAAGTAATGTATTAGTAATTATAAGTTTCATGAATTATTGATACTATAATTTAATATTTTTCGTACTAGCTACTCGTTTAATCTATATTTAATGTATACATTACAACTATCAACGTAATAAAAATGTAACTACTTTTATTTTGTATGCAAGAAAATGCTAGTGATCTCATGATCTGCCCTTTGCATAGTGTTTTTTATATGATTGGAATTTAGGTGCTCATCAACATCATAATATTAATCACCTCGTCAATGAAGATAAGGTAGGAAAATCATATTGTAGTTCATACCATGTTTGAACAAGTATGTTCAAACATTAATAAACATTGTTCATAGGCGGTCCTTATTTGTAATATGTAGGTACTCATGACTTATACCTAAAGTCAAACCATACTTATATGAGATCGATATTGCCTCCATATTATGTCAATTATCTCGACACTTAACACATAGTTTTAGGCTAGGTGGTAAATTGATTTTATTATCAACTGTTATTTAATCAAATAGGAGAATAAACCTCAAAATTTCCATGTTGATTAGACTCAAATAACTCTAATATTGTGTTTAACGACCCATCATCATAAGAATTGAGGGGACATGAAATCAACACTTCATTATCTTCCTATATCTAATTATATTGTTTTTCTCATGTTTTTTTTACTCACTTTTAGTTTTGATGTGATTTTTTAAAATTAATCCACCTCCGTACTTCCATAGTATCCAGTACTTAAGTATTATTACTCCGTACTTCCGTAGTATCCAGTACTTAAGTATTACTCCCTTCGCCTCTTAATTTTGGCTCCACTTTTCTTTTTGAGGTGTCTCTTTATTTACGCTCCATTCTATATATGCTTATAGAGACCACTATTTATCTCTCACAACCAATATTTTGGACCCATTATTTTTTCTCATCTATGGGACAAAACTAAGGGGACGGAGATATCAACTATACTTAACTATAACTCAATATCAACCCTTATGAATTGTGAATTTGTGATGAATTGTTATTCTTGTGAACTTGTGAGTTTGTGAGTTTAGTCTTGTGAATTGTGACCAAAATGTCTTGAATTTTAGAAGTTTTAAGTAGCGTTAGGATTAATGATACTACATTACTACTTATAATGCTGCAAATAATCTGGCCCAATGGGCTATTTGGGCCAGAAAATATGGGCAATTTATATCTTCATCGTAACCGGTTTCTGGACTACTAGTTCCCCAAAAAAAACATACAGTAACTTCTTTTGGCGCACAAATCCATAATTTTCCATTTTCCACCACCATTTCAACTAACACCTCCCCTTCCAAAAATGCTCCGATTAAACCGCCATTAAAACCGCCATTAAAACCACCATTAAATCCGCCATTAAAACCACCATGTCAACCTCCAAAACTCTAACTCTAAATTCCTCCGAACTCTTCCTTCAATCGGAAAACCCTCTTCCATCATCTCTTCCTCAATTTCCCGCCAATTTCCCACCCTCAAAACTCATTCCCAAAACCCGCTTCATCGTCGATGGCTTCCGAAACTCCGGCGAGTTTTCTCTCTCCTACTTCCTCTCACACTTCCACTCCGATCACTACACCGGACTCACTTCAACTTGGTCTCGCGGCATCGTCTTTTGCTCGGAAACCACCGCTCGTCTCGTCGTTAAAGTTCTCGGTGTTTCGGCGTCGCTTGTTGTTGGTTTACCGATTGACGATACTGTGATCATCGATGATTGTGAGGTAACCCTAATTGATGCTAATCATTGTCCTGGTGCTGTTCAATTTTTGTTTAAGGTTCCTGTTAATGGTGGCAAATTTGAGCGTTATGTTCATACTGGTGATTTTAGGTTTTGTGATGATATGAAACTGATGCCTAAATTGAGTGAATTTGTTGGTTGTGATGCTGTTTTTCTTGATACGACGTATTGTGACCCGAAATTTGTGTTTCCTTTGCAAGAGGAATCGATTGATTATGTAGTTAGTGTGATTGATAGGATTAGGAGTGAGAATAGGGATGATGGGAAGAATGTATTGTTTCTTGTTGCGACTTATGTAATTGGAAAGGAGAGGATTTTGTTGGAAATTTCGCGTAGGTGTGGTTGTAAGATACATGTAGATAGTAGGAAAATGGGGATTTTGCGCGCTTTAGGTTATGAGGATGATGGGGTGTTTACGGAAGATGAGTTAGCTAGTGATGTTCATGTTGTTGGGTGGAATGTGTTGGGTGAGACTTGGCCGTATTTTCGGCCTAATTTTGTGAAGGTGAGTGAAATTATGGTTGAGAAGGATTATAAGAAGGTTGTGGGATTTGTTCCTACTGGGTGGACTTATGAAGTGAAGAGAAATAAGTTTGCAGTTAGGACGAAAGATTTGTTTGAGATTCATCTGGTTCCTTACAGTGAGCATTCAAACTACAATGAGCTTAGAGAATATGTGAGGTTTTTGAAGCCTAAGCGTGTACTTCCTACCGTTGGTTCTGATGTTGAGAATGTGGACAGTAAACATGCTATTAAAATGCAGAAGCATTTTGCAGGATTGGTGGATGAGATGGCTAATAAACAAGAGTTTTTGATGGGTTTTTATCAGGGAAAAGCAAAGGTCAAGGTGGATGATCCGTTGACCGAGTTGGACAAAGGTGTAGAACATTTCAAAGAGGAGTTTGATGTGTCCACATTGAATAACGAACATAAAACTGACTTTGGTTCCACGTGTTCCGTAGTTCCTATGGACGATCCTGGTTCACATATTGTAGCCTCATTGAGTGATAAGGAAAAGGAGGAGATCATGCAAGAGCTTAGGGATTGTTTGCCTACTTGGGTTTCTGTAGATCAGATGCTAGAACTTGTCAAAACATATGGAAGAAATATCGTTGATGCAGTTTCTCATTTTTATGAACATGAAACAGATTTTCATGAGCAGATCGGAAAACCTTTCCCTTCATCATTGTCAAACTTAGAAAGTCATTCCACAACATTTATTAATCCTTGTTCTGTTGATAACAGTTTGCAGACACTAGTGAAGTCACCTAATCAAAAGGCCAAGTTTCTTCCATTGAAGCAGTCAGTTGCAAGCAGTGTTTCTCCTGGAAAAAGAAAGAAAAATTCTGAAAATAAGAAGAGTAAGAAAGGGAAAATTAACTCAAATCTTGATTCTGGTGGCATAAAACAATCTACAATAACCAAGTTTTTTAGTAAAAATAGCAGTGTTTGTCCGGGAAGCATTGCTGGTCCCCTGTCTGGGACAAGTACCGAAGACACGAATTTATCTTCTGAACATTCAGCTGTATGTTATAAGGAAGAGCTGGCACAATTTATTCAGATCATTGATGGTAGCGAATCAATGAAAAACTATGCTGCTGAGCTGTTACAAAAGGCTGAAGGAAATGTTGGCTTGGCACTAGACATGTATTACAGTAATTCTGAAGCTCACGTTGGTGGTAATCAGAAAAGTATAGATGTTAATAGCAAATTGCTACCCTGTGAAGTTCCGGATGAGAGCCTCTCCTGCCAAGGGAAAGAAAGGTCTGAAACTGGCAACAAAAATTTTCAACTGGCACAAGATTTATTGGTTGACAATATTGCTGTTAACTATGTATCACTGCCACCAGAGAAGTATTCTCCAATAGAACATGGTTGGCCTTAAAATTTCACTTATATTTAAATTCTTGCAGTCTTGGGTTTGCTTCTGTTTCTTTTCCTGGGCAGTGTGTGCTAATTTCATGTGCACTTCATGTAGCTTGCTGGAAGCAAGGTCAGCCTGCTCCATATTTACATTTGGCACGGACTTTTGATATTGTTGAAGGTGAAAAGGGAAAAATTAAAGCTACCTCTATGCTTTCCAATATGTTTAGAAGGTTTTGTGCTATGTTGTGTATCAGTTATATAACTTACATTTAGTTCTTTTTGTTCCATTCGGTATCTTTTCTTCTGAAACAGATAGTTTGCAAGTTTCAGAGTTTCCATTTAATTGCATGCAGTTTGCTGGCTTTGTCTCCAGAGGATGTCCTACCTGCTATTTATCTCTGCACTGATAAGATTGCGGCTGAACATGAGAATATGGTTGGTGAACAACTTGCTTTATATAAATTGCTCTATATTTGCAGAAGATTTTCTTTTCTTTGTAATAATACTACATATAGGGTGGTATTCTCATTTCTTTCTAGTAACAATTTGCTTAGCATTAATTAGTATGACCTACTATAATTTGAAAAGGTATTCCGGTGAATGAAACAACCACCACCAATCGGTTTGGAATTTGGATCCTTGAAGTAGGATCGAAGTGGTCTAGGTTTATTTAATACTAGTTTTGTTCCAGGGGTGTTGATTAAATTTTAGGATAATTTTTTTTTTTTTTTTTTTTGCTTGAATGCTAAATTTTATCATACAGGAGTACTCTATAAAGGACATATAATCCCTTTGGAGAATTTAGACATACAATGTCATTGATTTATACAATATTGTACTTTTTGTAGTTTTATTAGTAAATAGAGAAGTACTATCATATAGATCTTTATTAGACAAATATATATTTAAATCAAATAGAATATAATACATGTAATTATTTATTATTGTGCTAATTTTTAATTATTTGTGGTGTTAAGCCAGTAAATCAGTAATACTCTTAGTATTTTGTAGACATTACATATAAGGTTGAAAACTGGTTATGTATTTATTACATTATGATTAGAATGTTAAATTTACATGTATTACAGTAGTATTTTATTATGTTAATTTTGAAATCATTACAAATTTAGTATGTACACAGTTTAAAAATACTTTATATTCTTGGAAATCTAGAAAAATAAAATTTTCACTATTTTTTCCATGTATGTTAATTTAAAAATAAAGTATTTTGAAAAATTTATCCGATATCACTTACCTAACGTCTAATCTAACATGGCTATGTATAGTTGTTGCCTACGTGTCGCAGCATTTGGCAAAAACTTGGAATGCCAAGTGTTGTTTTTAGGATATGTATGTTTATAATTTCTTACCCTTAAACAAATACCCTCTTTGGAGAGGGCTTAAATTAAACGAAGTAAATTAATTATGTTTGTTTGCAAGAGTTCCTTTAATTTAAATAATAAAGGGTGAATATTAATGAAATAATTCACCTGAAACAGAATAAGGTCTTGAACTTATAAAAGGAGGAATTTGGATTGACTAAAGTGAGACCAAAAACGGAACCTAAGTGATTTAAAAGGATAGTAGGTGAAGGTATTTAAATCAAAATAGACTTCTCTGGACATTTTTCAACAATTGTTTAATGAGTAGTTCTGAGTATTTGAAGATTTCTGCAAAATATATAATGATACTAATATATTATGCTTGAGATGGGAAGACCTGGCATCTATTGGCTTTACTTGGAAATTATGTTTGTGATAGCTATGTAATTTGCTGATTGAAATTCTCTAATTTCATGTCTGATTTATCTTTGTTGTCGTTAATTCCTATACAACTGCTATGTGATTTGGGTGGTGTTGGTCGTTTGGATTTGGGCAATAGGAAACAAGCTGTTATGAATTTATTATTTAAATGCCTCGAATTTTGTTTCTTTAATCTAAATGTAGGAATTAAACATCGGTGGGAGTTTGGTCGCATCTGCTCTTGAAGAGGCATGTGGAACCAATAGAGCTAAGATTAGAGAAAGGTACAACAATCTTGGTGATCTTGGTATGTGCTACTCAATAATCTGTCTCATTATGATTAATCTTTGTGCATATAATTATGTGCATGGTATATTGATATTATATATTAATAGGTGATGTTGCACAAGAGTGTCGGCAATCACAGTCACTACTTCTTCCTCCTTCACCCCTTTTGATACGTGAAGTATATTCCATACTACGGAAAATTAGGTAAGATTCATATCTGGTTTATTTACATCTTTAGCTCAAGGTATGATGTTTGCTATTGTGCCTATCTATGGTCAGCGTACAGACAGGCAGTGGAAGCATGGGTAGGAGAAAAGGCCTAATTGTAAGTATGATGCGATCTTGCAGAGAGAAGGAAATGAAGTTTCTTGTCAGAACCTTGGTGAGTTATGAAAGAAATCCTTTTTACATACACCTATATGGAGAAGCTGACTGCTTTGAGTCTTTCTGTATTCTTTTTTGAGATTTGACAGCAGGCTTGACCACCTGATAATTTTTTACTTGTCTTGGGCCTTTTCTTCTCTTGCCAGCTTCCCTTCTGGTCATCTTACTTGCACAATCGCACTTGTTTCCAATGCAACATTAGATTGCTTGCTTTTTCAATAATCTAAAAGGGTAGGATAAGAGGATGGAACTGGGTCAAGTCAAATGCTGTTATAATTCATAAACAAATTCAAATCATCTTAAAGATAAACTAAACATGTTTTCATTGGTTCATATGCTCAGTATTGGTTGAGAAGATTCTTATGATTATATAATCAGTGAGTACTTTGAAGATGGTGATGCTTACATAGTTATGCTATATCTACAACAAGAATAGTAGTGTATGATCTTGATAATATAGCTTATTGTTTAAACATCAATTAAGTCAGCATAGGCTCCTAGGTCAATATATTTATTAAGCAGCACATGAAATAGTCTTGTTAAATATATTGAAAATATTCTGCTTTCAGGTTAAGAACCTTAGAATTGGAGCCATGATGAGAACAGTTCTTCCTGCATTGGCTCAAGCAGTTACTTTGAACTTTTATGATGGGGCAGGAAAAAATCAAAAAGAACTGCTTCAGGTCAGACACCTATCTCAGTATTGACTGTTGATTTTAGAAGTTATTTGTTTGAGTTATTGGCACACGGCACAATAAATGTCAGTAGTCAACAATGGGAATGATCTATTCCTTTTCTCTCTCATTGTTACTTTATATTAGATGTGAAATTGTCAATTCAGGTCACATGTTTACATTCTTATTTTGGAGATTTGTTATTGCTTGTAGGGCCTTTCTGCTGCTGTTGTTGAAGCTTATAATATTCTTCCAGACTTGGTAAGTTGTGCAGTGTGCTCTTTCTCCGTCTTCTCATTTTTTTTATTTATTATTTTTTTTTTTTCATTTTCTCTAATGTTCAATTTGCTTAATCTGTGAACGTGTATGGTAAATGTTTAATAATTTAATAATAAGTTTGTGTTGCTACATTAGATGAATATGCATATGGTTATTTTTTAGTTCAGCTATACTTAGGGATGTCCAATTTCTTACTTGACTTTTGTCATAGTTTAATACATTTCGTTGTCTGTTATATACTTTCTGATACAATTTGCGTCTTTGTTATGAAGAATATATTGGTGCCTTCTCTTATGAGCAAAGGCCTAAAGTTTTCGACCACTGCGCTGGCTATGGTACCAGGCATTCCTATCAGGCCCATGCTTGCTAAGTAAGTTCCTTTCTTTGATACTTTCTTTTTAATGATATGCTTTTCCGTGCTCTATTGTATTTTATTGCCCTTTTGCTTTCACTCTTAACAGAATAACTAATGGGGTTCCGCAAGCACTGAAGCTTTTCCAGAATAAAGCTTTCACGTGTGAGTACAAGTAAGTTCATTATTCGGTTTGTTCATTAGTCATTGCTTTGTGTCTCCCATGCACATCTGAGTTCATAGATTATTCTGATGATGCTCTCCTGTATGTTCTATGATATTATACTTATTTGGTTTTTGTGACAAACTTGATACTCATACTAAATGCACCAGGTGGAAGTGTGAAATACTGTCTTTAGGCTCTTCGGGTGCCATGATTTTTTCTTTGACTTGTCTTAATCTGAGACTTTTTGTGGCTGAAGAGAAACTTAATAAAAGATACAATTAATACATTGAAACCTTCTGTTGGAAAGTTGTTCTAGAACTTGATTAATTACCTGTGATGTGTCATGAGAGTATAGAATAAGAAGTAAATAGAATTCCTAGAGGTTATTTTGAATGCTTTCTGATTGTTTCTGCATTTGTATAGGTATGATGGTCAACGTGCTCAAATACACAAACTTGATAATGGTTCTGTGCGCATCTTTTCAAGAAAGGGGGATGAGACGACCTCAAAATTCCCGGATTTGGTGCACATTATTCAGGATTTATGTAAACCTTCTGCAAAGTCTTTTATTATAGATGCGGAGGTATTCCATGTCCCCTTGCTTGTGTGGTCAACATCTCTTTTGTTTTCTGTTTGAGTAAAGATTTTTTTTTTTCCCAGGTGGTTGGAATTGATCGCACGAATGAAAACAAGTTTATATCCTTTCAAGAACTATCTTCCAGAAAGAGAGGGAGTAAAGCTTCCTCGGTTTCATTGGATAGAATAAAGGTTCATCAATTATTTATTAATTTATTTTTATAAGCTTCATAATATTTTTTCCATATATTTCTTGAAAGCTATTGTATTTGGAGGTTGGTTGGTTTTTGACAATCATTTTTTAAGGATCTTTTTTTAACTAGTAACTTAGTTTGTGGCACATTCATCCTTCAGTTAGTACAAGTGATATCTTGCCATTCATCCTTCACTTTGTCCTATTTCATATGGACCTGCTAGATCCTTTGCAAGGAATCAATATTTGGGAGAAGGGCATATTAGTCATAGTCTATTATTAGTGACTTGGGGAATAAGCTGGAGTTTGTTAGGAGAGTCTTTCTATATATAGACCTCATTAGGAGGAATAATCATCATGTTGAATATTATTGAGGTTATGTTATTGGGAGAGAGTGAGCCTCTCGAAAGCTCATATTAGGAGAGAATCCACCTCTAGAAGTGGAATTATCCTTCTATTAGTGTAATTCACCTATTATCAATATAATCATCATTGTTCTTCCTAATTTCTGCCATATTTAAAGCTGTAATCTGGTCAGAAACCATGCTAATTCCTAGCATCCTTTCATCGTGATGCAAGTGATTATTTTATATATCTGTTCCTTGGATAGTCCAATGATGTGAATATGTGATCATGTCTGTTTTTTTTTTTTTTTTTTTTTTTTTTTTTTTTTTTTTTTTTTTGTCCAATTCTCTACTGACTTATGAAAACCTAAAAGTTTGTCAGGTGCTCAGTGTCACCCTTACTCAAAAATGTTTATTGATGACATTTTTTGGTTGAATTTTAATTGTTATTCTTTTATAAAGGTTTTTATTATTAGGGAGTTTTCATACTAATATACTTCGCATTAGGTTAGAGAAATTCATATTGATGGATATTTTGATCATCATGTCCAAGGCCTCAAAAATCATTTTAAAGATACTCCAAATCCCTCCCCCTTTTGCTCGTTTTATGATTTTCATTCACCCAAAATTGCGGAATTGCAGGTTGACATCTGTGTCTATGTGTTCGATGTCATGTTCGTCAATGGACAGAAGTAATCATCTAGACTTTTCTGCCTAGATTTTATGTATTTTCATTTTATGCCTTTCTTTTCTATGTTTTCTGTTCATTGTGTGGTCTTTCCCAGTTTCATTCCTTCTTTTCCAAATACTCTTTCTGTATTGTGGGAGTTATTTTTTTTTTTTTTGAGGAAAATGTATTGTGGGAGTTATTGATCTCTATATTAAGTTGAAAAGGGTTTTTTTTTTTTTTTTTTTCCCCTTTCATAATTGATGATTAATTCTCTGTTTTATAGATAATCTTGAATATATTTCATTTTGGCTCCAAATTATTTTTGTATTAGATTTATGCAATTTTGTGCTGACTTAAAATAAATTATGTGATCCAGGCTGTTGCCTTGCCCACTCAGGCAAAGACGGCAGTGTATGCATTTTTTATCCTTTGATTATTCATTTTTCTTTTCCAATGAGAAAATAAATATTATGCGGGGTGTCTGATCTAATATTGTTCTGAAATTTGAAATATGCATAGGCATGAACGATCTTTTTAGAGGGGAAAAGCCTGGTTATTTGGAATACGCAAAGGAATTAACTGTAAGTGCTTTATTTGCTGATTGAATATTGATGGAGTTTGACCTTTTTAATGGCCGTTCTTGAAAATAGCCCCTTGGTCCCCAGGTGGAAGCAGATGAAGCTCGTCCAGGCTGTGAAGCCACAGTGATAAAGATTAATGCTTTTCTTGAAGATGCGTTCCAGTCTTCTTGTGAAGGAATTATTGTTAAATCACTAGATGCTGATGCTGGCTACTTTGCTTCAAAGCGTGCTGATACATGGTTGAAGGTGCTGTCTGGGTTATTTCACTGTTCATTTATGTTGAATGTTGATAAAAAAATCGTTATGGGGTCTGTTAAGTTTTAACAGTAACTATTTTCCTCAGGTAAAGCGAGATTATATGGACGGTATGGGGGACTCCCTTGATTTAGTTCCCATTGGTGCTTGGCATGGCAATGGGAGAAAGGCAGGATGGTAATTCTACTGTGCATCGAAATTCTCATGATTGTCTTGGAATTTAAGTTCATGATAGCAGTGTGATACATTTTTAAGTGCGGCATATATCACAATGTCAATATGAATTGACTATTTGATTTCTATATCTTTTTTTTATTTTTTATTTTTTAATCATTGTTTGAATCATCTTTGCAGGTATAGTCCATTTCTTATGGCTTGTTACAATCCTGATACAGAGGAATTTGAAAGTTTATGCCGTGTTATGACAGGATTTACTGATGCTTTTTACAAAGAGGTAATATATTCTGGCTTGTTCTGCTGAAGTCTTGTCAAGACGGTTTTACTAGTAAAATTTTTAAAATTTTCCCCTTCTGTTTAAGCCTTTGGGGAAAGAGTGGGTTGAGGGGAAATTCTGAAAATGTATGGAGTAATTGAAGATGGATTGTTCCAGACTTACAGACTATAAATTGAAAGGTGCACAATACTTTAATTAGGAGTTTTCACTCAGAATGTCCCCTTTTAGATTGGCAAGTAGTTAATGACTGATTCACATGATGTCAAAGATCATGAAACTATGAGAGAATAGACCTTTTGTTTCCCCCACCCTTTCACATATCATTGTTTTTTTGTTTTTTTTTTTTTTGGGAAGGGTCCTGTACTCAAGGTGTTAGGTGAGTGATAGAGCAGTAACTAGTACCACTAAGGGCATGCTTGGATTGAGGGAAATGTATTATTAGGGAATTAAAAGTCAAATTAAGCAAAATGAAAGTGAACATAGGGAAGGAGGAGATAGTAATGGTGTGATTGTAAGGAAATTATGTAGTGATGGTGTGATATGAGGTGAAGAAAGGAGAATTCCCTCAAAAAAAAGGTGATATAAGTTACTCTAGGGAGGTTGGGTAACTATTACCCTCAAATTCCTATATCTCTCTCTTTTCTTCATGGCCAACTACCTTATTTTATTGTATAATCAACTTGCCTCCTACAACACCTCTCATTACTTGTGTTTTTCAAGTTTGACATTTTAAGTTGAGTTGGGCAAAAATGAAATTGTGACCTTTTCTTTTGATAAATGTAGGAGACAGGATCCATAATTCTAAGTCGTTTTGGTTTAGATACATGACGATGTATCAGCAAAACTGATTATATAAGAGCGTCTCTAGGATCGACATTGGTCCTAAAGGGAGAACTTTGCGCTAAAGCTCGATTAGCTAATGGCTATTTTAGAATTCCTCGTTTAGGTTTTGCCATTCCTACCTACCTATCTATCATTGGTCACTCGGAAATCAGCTCCTAATTCATGCATCTCTCGGTTTGAGAAATCAAATTAAGAGGATCGATCCACTTCCTACTTGATTAACATTAATCCCCATCCCTGTTAGTTTGGTATTGGATGCATAATCTTTTTATGTTAAGGTCATCATTTGCTGCATGTGGAATGGAATGCTCTTGGTGATTACTAGCTGGCCGGCTGGTTGGATCTCTTTTTTGTTCTATGGGCCTGACCTCATTTATAGTTATTTTCTTTCAATTATAACTGATACTGTGAGTATCAACTTTCTATAGTGTTTCTTTTGGGAGTTGGGATGATATGAATGAAGTTGTCTTTCTGATCCTTGGCATAAGTAGCTTTATAATCTTCAGTATATAAATCCATAATATTGAAGGATAAATATTTATTTTTTACCATTAATGAACTACAGATGAAAGAGTTTCTCTCTGGAGATAAGATCTTGATCAAGAAGCCCTTGTATTACCGAACAGATGAAGTTCCCGATATGTGGTTTTCAGCTGAAATGGTGTGGGAGATAAGAGGTGCAGACCTCACTGTATCACCTGTCCACAAGGCTGCAGTAGGAATCGTTCATCCTTCAAAAGGTATTTCTATGAGGTTTCCAAGATTCATCCGTACCCGCCCAGACAGACGACCAGAAGATTGTAGTACCTCTACAGATACTGCCGAAATGTTTCATTCTCAGACTCGGAAAATGGATGTAAGCGGTGTTCATTAGACTTGGTCTTTATATATGTACATAAATGTAGCATGTACGGAGTATTAGATATTTTCCTTTTGTCAGTTAGTTCAATGTAATTCCCCATTTAACCTACGCATAAATTTTATAGCCTCATGCCTGTATACTCGTAGATGTAAATTTTTAGTCTAGGTTTCAAATATGATCTTTTATTCATCCGCAGAATAGCAGTTCGTAACTTCGTATTACTATTTGATCGGTCGTTTATCATTCCAATCTCTCTTTTTTGATTGAATTTTACCAAGCATTCTTGGCCGTTTGCAAAAATAATCATATTGCAAACCAAAGCTGAAGTAGGTTATAAACCTTGTTACGGTAAGAATTAATTTTTGCTAACAAATTTTCAACGAAAGGCTACCACTGGCCACTGCAACAAACTATGCAAACCACCCCCGCAAATGTATACAATAACATCAAGAATCAAGATATGAATAAAAGATTATAGGTGTTTGGAATGTAAAATTTGGATGACAAAACAGTATCCGGTATCACAACAGTTTACAGGCTATAACAAATTGCTACGGTGTATATGTAACAGCACTGTCTTCCCCATGTATGAAACACTCGGATCAATCTGCATTTTTTCTTCTCCTCTTAGCACGGTTCTCCTTCTGTTGTCCGGAGCCTGGCTCGGTCGAAGGATTCTTCTGCAATTTAAACAAAGCAACGCTTTAAAATCTGATAGTGCACATATATATATAAAGCTCAATTGTAAAACATGAGACTAATTCACCTTTCTTTTTAATCGTTGTCTTTGCCGTTGCCGCCCTTTGCTTTTCTTCACTGATGTGTCCTAAAATGACAAGTGAAGAAATTCATGAGGATAATGTTGCCATGTCTCAAAGCCCTAAGGGAAAGACTGTTGAATACTGAACCAAACTCAGCTAAATTTGAACAGGAATGTACTGTTCTTCCCTTCCTTCCAAAAGTCTAATGGCTGATAGTCAAGTCACTATAACAAGAATAGAGGTATTGGGTTTTTTCCGGGATATGATAGTGCACAAGGTCCTGTTCTTGCTTTTTTCCGGGCAGGGGAGGGGGGGAGATATCACAATTCTGCCAGCAGAGAATTGACAAACCTGTGCCAGGGCAATAATCCTTGCATGTCTTTCGGCATGAGTCTCACAATCATCGTCAGATACTACTTCTTCTTCCCCATCGCTATTGAGATAACGCCTCAATCTTCCTTCATTCAGTAATTTCTGTGATCTTGAATGTCTCTGAATGGAAAGAGTGAGTGTAATAGAGAAACATTTCAAGATAAAAAGCATGTTGAATCTTTCAGGTCAAATGTCAAACCTTGGATTTGAGGTGGGTTTTCAAACTCTCCTCGTTCAGACAGACAATTTTCGGACAAAGCCTGCACTTGAATACTGATTTGCTTTTCAAAACGCATCTTGGAAGATCATCCACAGCTGATTGATCTTCAGTCTGTGTCTCAATTGTTTCACCACTATCTTTGCTGGATAAGAGGCTCTCCTTTAGTTGATCACCATCTTTCTCAGATCCACTGTCATCATCATTTTCGAGTAAACCTGCCAATATACAGAATTCCTTAAAATTTTGAATAGTTGCTTTAATATTACTGAACTACTGATTAATGTTCATACAAAAATACACCAGATGATGGATATAGAACAGCCATTCGTAGAGTTTTATTTTTTCTCTTCTTTTTTTTCACCCCTTTTATCGTAATTTTTTTTCTTCAAAGTATGGACTCAAACCATTTGTTTGTTTTTTATGTTTGGTTGTGTATCCATACCTTTTTTAATTTGAGCAAGACGGTGTGTAAATTTGTAAGATCAATATCCACTAGACATACAGGGGAAAAAACAGAAATTTATAAGAAATTCGCTCAAATCAAAGAGTGTCTGTCAGTCATGTTTCCTCGCACATATCATGCAATTGATAGATGAATAAACCTAGCAATCTTTCCCCTATTTTCCCAAAACGAATACTCATGGACTTATCTAATTGCCAAGAAGCCATTTAGTTAGTAGTAAACCTTTTCCATCCATAGTGAATCCTCCCAGTCATTTCACAAATGCTTGACCTATGTCCACAAAATTTCTAAACTGGCCATGAAAGTTGCAATCATCAATGTTACTCGCAATGAAGGGCATACTATACCTCTACTCATTGCGATCATCTATATTTCTAACCTAGCAATAACACGTAACTAAGGAATCTAATAGAGCCACTCCGTACTCATGAGCAAAATGCCACCTTCTCAAGGCAGCCGCGCAGAAATTAAGCACTTCAGTGCAAAGCAAAAGCTCAAGATCATCATAAACATCCACTATCAACTCTCACCAATGAAAATCAGCCTCTAATACTCCTTCTATACCTTATTCTTACCTCAGTAGCATTAAACCACACAACAGCAATCCAACATAATACAAACAGCCTTCTTTCTCTTTCTCTTTTCCTTTGTTTTCAATTTTTCCGATTAAGCCAAAAACAATGCCTAATCATCTAAATTATAACTTGAAACATAGCTAATGAATTTGGCAGTACCCATGTAAAAATGAAAATTAACAGGAACAGGAATACCATTTGCCTCACTAATCAATAATCAACTTAACTCACAACAATCAAGGATATAAGAACCAATTCAAAATCCAAACTTTCCAGCTTCAAATAACATCAATCACATTATCTATCAATCCTATTAATGAAAATTACTAAAAGAAGAACAAAGTAAATTACCTCCTGATTCAGCATCAATTTCATTAGCAGAACTATCTTCACTCTCATACCCTACAAAATTAAAACCAATAAACAAAAACCCATTACAAATCAAAACCAATAAACAAAACCCAATTACAAATTTAAAATTCAAAGAAACCCAGAAAAAAAAAAAAAAAAAAAAAAAAAAGAGAGAGAGAACCAGAAGAAGAGGAAGAAGGGTGTTGGAGTTTCGAAGGAGCTGGAACATCATCTTCATTGTCGTCATCATCATCAGCATCAACGTTGGAATCGGGTTCGTCTTGATTGTGTGTTGGTTCATCTTCTTCCGATTCATCGGAGCTCCGAACTTCAACCTCGGAATCCGATGAAGAATCCGATGATGCGTCGTCTTTGTCGTTGTCGCCGCGGTCTGCTCTGTAGAATCTTCTCTTTATCATTTTTTTAGATTTTTATTTATTTTTTTATTTTAAATTTTGTTCTGCAATTGAAGTGCAAAGAAAGAGAGAAAGATGAAGAAGAAAGTGTAGGGTTTATGTGAGATTTTGGGGAAGAGAAGACAGTTAACTATTCAGGAAATTCGGGTCGGGTTGGATTAATTCGGGTCACCCGTATGATGAATTGACGGGTAATTGGGTAAACTCTTTTCTGAATCTCTAATTCTAAATTGGTGAAGAAAACTTGGGTTGTTTTAACTTGGCAAGACTAACGCCAAATCATTTAGCCTGATTAGATTTGATTTGATTTGATAATTGATTAATTGATTTGTTTTACGAAGTATAATTATTGTTGGTGGTGAACTTGGAATCAAATCAACAATTTTGCGCATGATATAACCTGTTTTGACAAGATCCAAATATGATTCGAGTGATATAATTATACTGATTACTACCTTTAGTTGTTAGACTACGAATTTTGGCATTTATGAAGTAAGGACCGCCAAATATTATTGTTCCTTACTAAGTACTAACCTTCATAAATAGTCAAATGATATGGAGTATTATTTTTAATTAAGAAGATTTCTCTTAATCAACACAGTTTCAAACTAATATTTGTCCAAAATATCAAACACAAACTTATAATGCATACGTAGACTTATGCGACCACTAAGTACCACACACATGTATATTTGTATCACTAAAAAGTAAAAGCAAATGACTTGTTTTGATCATTATATTACTTATTTACTTTACTTATAATTGATCGATTACCATTCAATCTGCTTCAAATACATATTATTGTAATTAACATTGATTAGATTTAATCAATAGTACCAATCTTGCAATTATTGTGTACAAGTTGTCGAACATACAAACAACCTTAATTTCGTACATCAATTCTTTATATTGTCCAAATCAGTTGTTGCTTCAAGAAGTAAGTAATGTTGCATGCATATTTCCATTAGAAAAAGTTAAGTTTATTATGTTTCCACAAATTCCGTTTTGAATGAAAAAGAATTACTCCACCCAATTTAGCAAATATATTCAAGGCAAAGATGATACTTGTATATACAATTTATTATTACAACATTAAACCATTACAAATATCAACAAAATAGTAATCAAATCATCACCAAACTACCAAGATTTGAGGATGATGTTATCAACTTTAACTTCGCTTTCTCCCATTCAATTCCTTGGCGTGCCGTTCACCTAATCTCAACTTTTTTTAGACTAACTTTGCCTTCATATTTTCCACTCCTCACCCAAAAAGAGGAACCACTAATGCCCCTAAATATCTAAGACGACTAGACGAGTAATAAATGTCAATGACAAAACTTGTCATTTGAAAAGCACTCTTTATTGACTATATACTTCATAGTAAACCTTTTGTTATGTGGAAGTGAAAAAACAATAAAGAGTATACGTTTACAATGTGTTTTTTCATGTATGAATTACAAAAAGATAGGTAAAAAAAAAATGTGTATAAACTGTGCAAGAGGGGAATTTTATAGTCAAATATGTATATTTATAATCTTGGGGTCTGTTCTGATTGACTGAATTGAGTTGAACTGAATTGGACTTAATAGAGCTGAACTGAACTGAATTGAAATGAACTGGACTGAATATTTTATGTGAAAAGGATATCAAAAACTGAACTAAACTTATTGAAGCTGAATTGAACTGAAAATAATCTGAAGAGAACAGGCCCTTATAGTCAAGTATATAAATTTATAGCAAAACGATTTTGGAGATACTTAATATACATTTTTTTATGAAGGAATATTAGTAGAATGTCCTAATTTGTTATTGAATTTATTATTTGATTTGATTATAATAAATTAATAAATATATTGAATATTAACAGTTGGGATACTATAATAAAGAGCAAATATAATTGATTATTTGATCATATATGCATGGTAAATGTCCACAAATGAGGGGTTTATATAGGGAGAGAAAAAAAAGGGATATGGATAATATGTTAGAGATAGAAGGAATGTAGTGTTAGTTTTTTTTTTTTTGGGGGGGGGGGGTGATGATTGAGTCCATAGAGATAAAAACAATCCGTATCCCTCCATTTCTATACCTAAGGTGTGTTATTCCGTATAATGAACATGAATATGACATAAATTTAATAAGACCAACTCAACCTTAATGAAATTGAAAGCGTAAGAATACAAGGAATGTTGGGTCACTAATTCCCTTACCCCAAATTTATTTTTAAATAAAGTCATACTTAACATGGTATTACAATTATTTATCTTTATGCCACTCACTAGTTCCCTATCCTTATCCTATCTTTTGTACTCAACCCCAGGTATAATCAATTGTCGCCTACTCGCCTTGTCGGAATGTTGGGTCACACTCAATTGCAATTACTTGTAGATTACTACATGTTCAATTGCTCGTGTAATCATGTATTATTGTATGAACATAAGAAAATATTCACTTCACTCTACAAATCTACAATAACCTCATAAACCGCGTACTACAAAAACAAACTCATATATAAACCCCAAAATTTCTGATTTCCCCCTTATTTCTCCTTCCACTCATCCACACTCTACGTCCCTATCCACTACCTTACTCACCACCACAAACTCCGACCTCACTTACCTCCTTCAATGGCGGAAATCGACGGCAACACTCTCGTCGCCAAAACCCTCGCTCATTCCGGCGTCACCCACATGTTCGGCGTCGTCGGAATCCCCGTCACCTCCGTCGCAACCCGCGCAGTTTCCCAAGGTATCCGCTTCATCGCCTTCCACAACGAACAATCCGCCGGTTACGCCGCCTCCTCCTACGGCTACCTCACCGGAAAACCCGGAATTCTCCTCACTGTTTCCGGGCCGGGTTGCGTCCATGGGCTTGCCGGGCTCTCCAACGCCGCAATTAACACCTGGCCCATGGTCCTCATCTCGGGCTCATCCGATCAGCGTGATTCTGGTAAAGGAGATTTCCAAGAGCTTGATCAAATCTCAGCCGTTCAACCCTTTTCGAAATTATCCGTAAAACCCACCTCCATTTCCGAAGTTCCGGGCGCAGTTCTCCGGGTTCTGAACGGGGCTGTTTCGGGTCGGCCCGGTGGGTGTTACCTGGACCTTCCCACGGATGTTCTCCACCAGACTGTGTCGGAGGCTGAGGCAGAGGATCTCATTTCAAAGGCGGAAGAACAAGTGAGAAAGGAACAAGAATCATCGGATTCGTCGAATTCGACGCCAATTTCCGATGTAGAGAAGGCGGTGGCTGCGCTGAGGAGCGCGCAAAGGCCGCTGATTGTGTTCGGAAAAGGGGCTGCGTATTCGAAGGCCGAGGATGAATTAAGGAAGTTGGTTGATAGTACTGGGATGCCCTTCTTGCCCACTCCAATGGGGAAGGGTTTGATCTCAGACAATCATGAATTGGCCGCAACCGCGGCGAGGTCGCTTGCAATTGGGCAATGTGATGTTGCTCTTGTTGTTGGGGCAAGGCTAAATTGGTTGCTTCATTTTGGGGAGCCCCCAAAATGGTCTAAGGATGTCAAGTTTATATTGGTTGATGTTTGTGAGGAGGAAATTGAGCTTAGGAAGCCTTATGTAGGGCTAGTTGGGGATGCTAAGAAGGTGGTTGGTTTGATTAATAAGGTGATCAAGGATGATCCCTTTTGTTTAGGGAGGAATCATCCTTGGGTCGAGGCGATTTCGAAGAAGGCTAAGGATAATGTGTCTAGGATGGAGGGTCAGTTGGCTAAGGATGTTGTGCCCTTTAATTTTTTCACTCCTTTGAGGATTATTAGGGATGCTATTATTGGAGTTGGGAGTCCTGCACCTGTTTTGGTGTCTGAAGGGGCTAATACTATGGATGTTGGGCGAGCTGTGTTGCTTCAGACGGAGCCTAGGACGAGGTTGGATGCCGGTACTTGGGGAACTATGGGAGTTGGTTTAGGTTACTGTATTGCGGCCGCTGTGGCTTGCCCTGATCGCTTGGTGGTTGCTGTTGAAGGAGATTCTGGTTTCGGGTTTAGTGCTATGGAAGTAGAGGTATGCCTATCTGCCTTTTATATTGTATGGTCCATTGAAATCATGTGGTATTTGTTTATCTATAGATGCAATGCAATTTATTATGTGATTATCATTAATTTTGATAGTGCAATATGTTTTTCTGTTGAATGATACTAATGTAGCTTTGTTACTTGAGATCATGCTATGAATTCCCATTTTTAGTAGTAATTATCAATTTGTCATAGTAAAAGGATTGGATTGCCTTTGTTGGAGCTTTAACAAAGACAGAGAGTCATTAGCATCTTTTATGGATTTTGGTTCACTATAGTGAATCATAAATCAATTAGACTATGATTGGGAATATTGAAAAACTTTTTAATAAGCTTGGGAGTGTTGAATTGTGAAGTGAATAGTGTTTCTGAATGGTAGTTTTGACATTGATCTTTTACTTCATAGTATACACTTCTTGTGTTTCCATTTCTTGCCTGCTGCTCGTCTCCAATTGAGTTCCTCCTAATCAATTGTGAAACTGTAGAGATTTTCAATTACTTTTCTTTCTTTTATTTATTTGGTTACCCTTTCCATAGCTTGGTGCACAACAAATTTCAAATCCTCAAGCCTCTTCACATTATGATCACCATAGCTATTGTATAGTATTGGGGGTTTTGTTTTCTGTCCTTGGGGACATCGTCATCTGAACATCTGGTAGATGATTCTTCTAGTTGTTTTCATTAGTGTTAGTGGTCCAGAGTAGATTGCAGAGATGTGTTACTTTCTTATTTATGCTGGATCAAACATTTGGTGATGTGAGCATGCAATTTTTAAGTCTGTAAATCAGCAAAAACGCTCTGAGAGCATTAGTATAAATTAAAATCTTATATGAGATTAGGATTATTTTCATATGTTCACATAGGTTTGCTTTGTTGGTTGCATTGTTTACTAAAAAGTGTAAGTTAAAATTCTGTCCTTGTATCTTTGCTCTACTGTCTTGTATATGTGCAAGTTGGATTCAGCTGATCCTTGTGTTCCTTCAGAGAACTAACACGAGGGCAGATGCAATTTTACCTCTAATATTGTGTACAGATCAAAGAGCCTGCGTGTGGGTTACAATTATAATGTGCTGTAGATGATCGTTTTGTGCTCTGACATGTTTGTATCTAATATTTTATTTAGAATTGGTTTAGCTCTTTATACACCATCAGTTGTTTTTGCTAATGAAATATGATAAGTTGGATTTGTGACAGTCTACCATGCATACCCCAAATGCTAATAGTTTTCATGAGGTTGTCACCTGTGGTGGGTTTTGTGAAGGGTGAAAAGCTCCTGGCTTTATAAGTTTGTAAGCCATACCCTTGATTTGGAATTAGGCATTGATTGGCCTAGTACTTTACAACAAATGCTGTAGCTGCTTTACTATACCCTGAATTTGGCATCTGCTTTTCTAATATGCTGTAATTGCTGTTGCTCTCTTTATTATTAATAGAGCAAATAAAATCACTATTTATTGTCTTTTAGGATTATGCTATATTAAACTAAGTTTTTTTTTTCTATTTTTTTTTTTTTTTAACTTTGCCTAAATAATTCATCTTATGTATGTGAATATGTAAAAATTTGTGGGTAACCTTCTTTAAACTAATTACATACATCTTAAATTATCAAAAACTATGCAAGCATAATGCTAATAGATTAAGGCCCTTTTTTTTTTCCTAAAATGGTTCATTAGTTTAATATCATGTGAAAGTAACTTAAATCTTGAATCTTGTACTAGGTAAATACATTTTTAAATTTTTTTTTTTTGGTGATGTGTGCATAATGAAAAGCATAAGCCATTAGGTATTGTTGATATTATTGTGTGAAGTATAACTTGACAGTGTTGGTAAACATTGTCATATTAATACATTATGCATCAACCACATACTGAATATTATCATGTAATTTTATGATAAAAATAGAACAAAACAAGTCGTGTACTGTAGTGTTATTACAAGATCAACATGTTATTCTCTAAAATGCCTGCCTGCATTCTCATCATCTGATGAGTTTTACGGTTATATACCCATTCATTTCCTAGAAATATGTGAATTGTTAATACAAGTTGTGCTTCAACATAATCTGTGAATTGTTATGGCCAAGTGATTCCTATGAATATAATTGTGTAACTTTCACTGTCAACTTGTATCTCATCTTAACCTCTCTGCAGACTGTAGTTCGATATCAGTTGCCTGTTATAGTTATAGTCTTCAACAACAATGGTGTTTATGGTGGTGACCGAAGAAGTCCTGAAGAGCTCACAGGCCCTCATAAAGAAGACCCTGCCCCAACTTCTTTTGTTCCAGAAGCAAAATACCATGTTTTAATTGAAGCTTTTGGTGGAAAAGGCTATCTTGTCAAGAATCCTGCTGAACTGAAGTCAGCCTTGGACGAGTCTTTCACAGCGAAAAAACCTGCTGTGATAAATGTCATAATCGATCCTTATGCTGGCTCAGAGAGTGGACGGATGCAACACAAGAACTGAGGTACAAACATATCATATAACGGAAATCCACGACCTCTTCTTGAGTGTAAGTATGTGAGTACAGTGTGGATTGCGCCTTGAGCATCCACTGCCCTTTCGATTTTTCCAAAATGATTCACATCACTAAGTTTATATTTGTTGAAATAAGTTGTATTAAGTAGTATAAATCTGTTATTTTCCTATGAATTGAAGTTGGGATGTATCATTTAAGCTGAGTGCTTGCTGATTAATGTAGGATGTGTAAATCAGATACTTGAATTTATCCTATTAGGCTTATTTACCTTATACTCTACTTTCTAAGGTTTAACCGAGTAGGCATGTACAAGTATATACTTCGTATTTTTTTTCCTTAATATATTAATATCATATAAATTCTGGAATTAGTACTGCGCCAAAAGACTTTAGATTGGTTAAAATTTAATTAAATTTCAGATATTACTTTAAGTTAATTAATTCTTTCCTTAATAATAATAAGATCCGTTGTAGTCTAGTTGGTCAGGATACTCGGCTCTCACCCGAGAGACCCGGGTTCAAGTCCCGGCAACGGAACTACTTTTTCTTCTTTTTTTTTTTTTTTTTTTTTTTTTTTTTTTTTTTCCAAACTAAAGATAAGCTTAATACATAGATTTATTTTGTATATAAAAAAAAATCTGAACAAACATTGAACATAGCTCAAAATCAGCTTGATTTTCATAGATCTTCCTAGAAGAGCATACAGATACAATAAGATATACTAATACCAATAACACTGTAGGTCTTTAGGATACACAAAATTTTATTTATAGAATATGAAAGGAGGATGAAAGAGATATCAATCCATAATCCATTTAACTCTGAAGTAGGATCATGATCATCTTCAGCTGGCTTAATAAGGCCGAGGCGGTGGCGGTGCACCCTGGCGAGGCCAAGGAGTAGGTGGACCGTAAGGATCACGGTCCATGTACGGTGGTGGAGGACTATAAGGATCACGGTCCATGTATGGAGGTGGAGGAGGACCATAAGGTTCACGGTCCATATACGGCGGTGATGGGCCGTAAGGATCACGGTCCATGTAGGGTGGTGGAGCCGGGCCAGGGCCAGGACGGTGATGGGGTTGTTGATGATGATGTGAGTAATAAGGAGGTGAAGGTGGGCCTGGTGGCCCATGATGAGGTTGGGGAGCATAGTAATTAGGCCGAGGTGGCGGTGGTGGGCCAGGCCCATATTCGGGCCGTGGCTGACCGTATATTGGTGGTTGTGGCGGTGGCGGGCCGTAAGGATCAGGTGGTGATGGTCCTGAGGGATAAGGACCTCTATAGGCCATAATGGTCTTGGCAGAGTGTATGGTGTAAAAAAAGGGTGATATGAAGAAATTGGTTTATTTAGAAAAAAAAAAGGGAGGTTGTTTATGAGGTTAAGAAACTAATAGATTGATGTAAATAAGGTCGGTGAAGTAGCTTTCAATGTTTATATTTTTGGATTACAAATTGAATAATAGTGGGGGCTAGAAGTGGTTGAGGTCGTGTCCAATTTTTCTTGGCAAATATCCATGTGGTTCACACATTTTCTATGCAAGCTATCACATGAATCACTAGTACCCTTTTTATTTATTGTGATATCTAACATTCTAACAATCTAACATTAGTAACATGTCTTCCATTTTTCTTTTACCCCACCAAAAATTACTTTTAACTTTGTGAATATCACTTTTTTTATTTTTATGCTTCACATGAAATAAAGTACTCTATAATTGATTTGAATTTATTTACTTTGTATGTAATGTGGTTAAATACTTAAATATAGTGTAATTTACTAAGGCTTGTTGTCCTTTTATTTTAGTGTTAAAAAAAATTATATAGTACAATTGTACAAATATGTTAGATTTGTTTTAAAGTGTATATATTTCAAACATGTAACTTTTGTAATTATTTTAATTAAAAAGCAATTAAAGTTGTTTAGTAAAAAGTAGGCACTAATTAAAGTTATTAAGTTTTATGTGTTATGTTTATTTGGTTTGATCTAAAGTGATTTTGCTTAGAATAAGTTCAATAAACATCTTCATGCTCCATAATTGTTATAGTTTATTTATAGTTATACAATCCACTAATATATTTGCCTCATTTGATCCTTTTTTTTTTTTTAATAAAAAATGTAATATAATTGACTTGTAATTTGATACGATAAAAAAGAGAAGGTGCTTGCAAAAGTTGCAATTTGACAAGTATTTTGATTTAGTCAATTGTTGTAACTTGTAAGTCTTGTAACCTGAATTAATTAGAAATGAATAGAGTAGTTTGAATAGATTTCAAATTTCACCAAGCTAGGATAAATTTGCAAAGGGATTGAATTCACAAATATTAAACATACTATCTAACATTAATCCATGACTTTAAATATTTAACATATCAGTATATCTCTGATCATCAGCCATATTTATACGTACAATAAGGCCATAAAAACTATTGTAACATACTAGAGGTACTGCTACTACTACCTTCTGCCACTAGAACATGGTGATTCTAGTTCGAGATTTATTTATGCTTTCATTTAACACTCTAACATAAGCTAAGTACAAACATTACTATCCATTACAACGCGATTTTCTACTATCACAAACTTATGGAGGAGGAGGTGGGCCGAAAGGTGGTTGTGGCCCAGGAGGAGGACCTGGTGGGCTTGGTGGAGGTGGACGATAAAATGAGCCTCGAGGTGAATGAGGATGGACAGGGCCTGGGGGTGGTGGTGTTGTACAGAACGGCATAGGTGGTGGTGGGCCAGAAGGTCCATGTGGTGGTGGTGGTTGTCGCGGTGGCGGCATTGGTGGATCATGGCTGTGGCCTTGCCCAGGATGTGGCATATTGATTGTTTTCTTGTAGACCAAAGTTTGAGATTTTATTTAGAGGTTATGTATTGGGCCTTAGCTAAGATATAACTCAATATGGAGGCCTCATTTATAAAGACGAAATGCAATGGGCAAGGCTAAGATTTTGTTGACTTTTAGGTAGGAAAAATGTGGACTACTAAGTAGTCACATTGTTTACAGTTAGACTGGTAGATATGTATAATGGCAAAATGTGAATAATATCTTTGAATAATTTTTTCTTGATTACTAGGTAGAATGTCAATTTTACTTGGCAATTTAGGGAACCCATGCTTAATTATAACTCAGATCGTTTGGTGTTTGCTCTTTGACCGTCCGTTTAGTGTAGTTTTCGGCTTGTTGACAGCTCTAGTTGAGGTCTTTTTTGGGGCATGTGACGACAACTCGTGAAAAATATACTCCCTCCGTGTTTTTTTAAGTGATACATTTTTCATTTCCGAACGTGTTTTTTTAAGTGATACATTTCCTTTTTTGGCAAAACAATACATTAAAATATTATATCTCTCTCCTCTCATGGCCCCCACCCAAACCCACTACTACTTTTTTATTATATCTTTCCTCTCACATTCATTACTTTTCAATAAACTATTAACCCCACTATCTTTCTTTAACAATTTGTTAATACTCCACTACCCCACTTACCTCTTATTTTATTTAAGTCAATTAAATTGCCTAAAACTATTTGCCGGTCAATATATATCACTTAAAAAAACACGGAGGGAGTAATCATTTTGGAGGGAGTATAAATGGAGTGTTGTAAGACATGGTACAACTATTAAAAAAACACATAAAGGTATAAGGAGTAGAGAGAAAGGAGGAGATAGGAAGAGTGAAAAAGGTGATGTGTGCTACACTAAACTTTCCAAACATAAGAAGTATATATTTAGTGTAAAATGGACAAAATTTATGAGGATCACTACCACTGAGTCTATATTTTGTTCCACTGAAACTCCAATGGAACTTTTGTACCACTAGAATTATGTTTTGTACAACTTAGGGCATGTTCACTTCATAATAATATTTTCACTTCAGTTCAATTCTTAATTTCCTTCTCTTATAAAATATTCAGTTCAGTCAATCAGAACAGACCCTTAGAGTATACTTTGTATCACTGAGATTCTAGTGGTATTATTTGACAACTCAATAAGATATTTTTTAAAATGACGCCTGAAATGCCTACATTACCTTTGTGAGACATGACTTTGTTTTCTCACAATCCCCGGTTTGACATTTTGAGAGGGTTACCGAAAATATTGAATACAACCTGTTAAATTATATAGTTAATTTATAGTCACCTTTTACAAAGTTAGTGACTTTCAAATGAGTGAATGACTTATATTACATGATAATCTAGATTAGGGTATGTAACGTCATGGCTTGTCATAGGCACCGAGGTGAAGCCAATAACTCAAGGCAACAATGCCAAGCTAAGGCAACTAAGCTGTGATAGTGAAGGATGGATCAAGACATGAATGAGATGATTCCAGCCACCAAGGCTCTAGAACGTTGGGAGGTCCCTCCCCGCCCAAACTCCGAATAAGGAGCCCCCTAGAGTCCTAGACCCCTGGGAGCTCCCCAAGTGTCAAATACGTACTCATGCCTATATATTTCCTAAGAATCCTAACCTTAGTCTTTTATTTTCTTTGGACACAAGACAATGGGCAAAAGGTATGAGGACATGAAAAAGTTGAGATTACCTCATCAACAATTCAAGTTTGTTGAGAAATAAAGGAAACACGTACATTCAAATTTAGTACTGTAATTGTTAGACGTTGGGTCGTTGGAGCTCTCTTCAATTATACACCAAGCAACTTATAATTATTCACGTATCCTTTTAATTTTAATAAATTAATAACAAACGAATTCAAGTATAGATTTTACTAATAATAATTAAGTTAAAATGATAAGAAATTGTTAATAACGTTTGTTTGTTTGTTTGTTAATGTGTTGTTCACATAAGGATAGGATTAAAAAAAAAAAAGGTTTAATAATCAGAAACATTCTAGACGATCGAGTATCATACATTATTGTTTCAATGAATTAATTAGTTGCAACTTACAAGTTGCTATTACTACTACTAATCTACTACCACTACATAATTTGGTACAAAATATATGTGATGGTGGTACGAAACCATCCCTAATACTACCTCCGTTTTGTATTATATGCAACAAATGGGTATTATTTGTGAGATATAAAATATTCCTTTGTTGCACATAATAAGAAACAGAGGTAGTATGTAATGACAACGTGACTGGCCTGCTCGATGCTCATCGAGGAAGAACGACAAGTGAGTCCACACGAGTAGGCGGCTCATCATCAGTAGTTGTTGGTGTAGTGTGAATTTGGCCTGGTGGCGGTGAGTTGTCCGGTATTGGTGGACGGTGAATTGGACCTGGCAAGTGAGGAGGCTCAGGTGGTGGTGGATCATTATCTGATGTTGGCGGAGATGTTGTACTTTGTATATTTCTAGATTGTAATAAACCAAAAACCTTTATTTTTTGAAAACAAGTACACTTATAGAAACAATTAAAAAACGAATATTGTGGTCTCATTTTTCTCTAAAGAGGAAATACAAAAGGAGGGGTAGAAAGTTGAATTGTAATTGTGGACTAGCAGATACAAAGACTAGTAGATGACATACAGTGCTAATTATAAGCTAATTTCCGTTGTTTTTAAGTCATGTTGGCTATCTTTTTTGTGTTAGTTGAAATCACATGACATGTTACCTATAGCTATATAGGGTGATGAATTATTGAGATTTATGTTTTCATCCAATTAATTATATACGAAATATAATTATTGACATGTATTAGATTCACTACTACAAATAAAAATAAATTCTCGTATATAAAGCATAGGAAAAATACACTTTAATAATCCCAATTATTGTCGATTTACTTGTAAAAATCCCAACTAAGGTTAATTTTTTAACAATCCTAACTATTACATGAGTTTGCTTCTAATAGACCCAGCCGGTCAACACCAAGTCAATGACTTGTTTTAATAGGTTACCAATACACGTGTCAGCACGTGATTGGTCTAGAATTAAAAAAAAATTAAAAAAATTAAAACCCTAACAGCCACCACCACCTCCTCCCCTCCCGCCACCCTGAAACACCACGGCCAACCCCCAGCTAGTCGGAAAACGACCAACATCTCCCTTAACCCCCGAAAATGTCAGTCGTCCCCTCCCAACCCCAAAAACCACCCTAGCCGTCCTACTCCCACCCCCAAACCACCCATCCTCCCTCGAAGAGCAACCTCCACCCACCGCAATGGCGCAGCCAAAGTAGCGGTTGCCACCACCAAAGTAGCAAGGCCAGCAACAGCCACCGCTATGGCGTAACCAAAGCAGCGACGAACCGCACCCCTCAATTATAGCAGCCCCAAAACCGTCCAGCCACCACCGCTCACAACCCTTTGCTTCCTTTTTGCTCCCC